ATATGTCATCCACTTACTTAAGCCCGCTAGGTATGTCACGCAAAGTTTTCCCCTGTCTCTTTTTCCCTCGATTCGACTCGTGAGTATCAGATTCTCCATGCCCTCCTTCCTCATTATGTACCCCAGAAACTTCAGCTGTCTCTTCCTGATATTAAGTATAAGCCTCCTCCTTGTTTACAACCTCGCTAAGACCTCATCGTTGCTCACACGCTGGATATCCTTAGCGTCTTTCTGTAGAAGCACATCTCTGTCGCCTCGAGTCTCTTCTTCATCTTTAAGAAAACCGTCCAACATTCGCTGCTGTAAAGAAGAACAGATGCCACGTAACAGTTCAGTATCCTTTTTTCTTTTTTTTTCTTTTTTTGTTACCAAAGAAATCCTCCTGTCTCGCAATAGTCTGCTCAGCTTTTGGGATTCTTTCTTGGCCATCCCAATATGTCTACAGATCACAGTGTTGCACTTACGGTCAAATTTTTTAATAGAAATATTTTTATCTGAGCACCCTTCTGTCGTATCATATCTCTATCGTCTCGAGTCTCTTCTTCATCTTTGAGGAAATCGTCCAACATTCACTGCCGTAAAGAAGGACAGATGCCACGTAACAGTTCTGTATTCTTTTCATAGTTACCAAAGAAATCCTCCTTTCTCGAAGTATTCTGACCAGCTTTTGGAATGTGTCCTTGGACATCCATATACACCAACGGATCTTAGTGTCGCACTTACCGTCCTCTGTCAAGACGCTTCCCAGGTATTTAAACTTCCACGTCTACTTGATTCTAGTGTTCCCGACCTGCAAATCGCATTTCGGGCTCATCCTCTTACTGACGACCATACACTCCGTCTTCTTGTAGTTTATACTTAGTCCCTTCTTCTCACTCTCTGTTGTCTTCTGTTAGAGATTTTGTAATTTAATTTCCGTGTCTGCTATCAGTACTGTGTCATCTGAGTATCTTATGTTGTTAAGGTTGTTGCCGCCAAGGCTAAATCCAGGTAGAGTTTCCAATTCTCTCAGAATTACCTCACTGTATAGGCTGAACAGGTAGGGTGTGAAGATGCTTCCTTGCCTTACACCCCTTTCTACTTTTGTATATTCACTGAACTCGTTCCCTAGGCGTATGCATGCTCTTTACTGCCAGTATAAGTTCTTGATTATTCTGATACAAAACCCAAAATAGATAGTAACTAAATGGAAGAGTAAAAGGTGCAAAGGATATGTAGGATGGATAACGGGTAATCAGACATTTAAAGGGGTTAAGTCTGTAGTGACCGAGAAAGCATCCTCTCGGGAGTTCGTTTCATAATGAAGAAGACATCGCCTAGTCTGGTTAAGCGTCTATGGAGATTTATTTATTTATTTTTTTATTTTATTTTTTATTTTTTTCTGAAAGGGTTTTGTGTATATAAAACCTGTCGTAAATCGCTAACATTTGTTTTTTGACGACTTCGTAAAGGGTTATCTTTTTTCGTAGGGCATTTAAACTATTTATTAGGACTATGGATTTTAATAATTATTTTATTGTTTGTTTTTATGCTAATTATTCGATGCAAAAATTTGATGATGTTGGCAAAAAACCGTTAACTCATGTCTATTGTTTAATAGATTTTTATTATTTAGAAACATAATAATGTGTAGTTTTTCATGTAGGCATCTTCATTCAGACACGATTCATTGAATAATATAAACATATTGTGTCTCTTTTTATACTAATCTTTTCGTCTAATCAGCTTTTTGATGTTACTACGAAATTCATCACGGAAGGCGCCGAATTTTTTTTTTTTTGAACCTAAGTACTTTCGACATTTTCTATAATCATCTTCAGATGTAAATTACAAAAAACAATATATTGTAACTGAAATATTGAACACTGACGCCAACACCAAGGGGCGACTGTCTGTTTCATGCTTAAAAGCAATAGTCCATATGTAAAAAGAAACGTGCTTTCTATCTCATTCTATTTAAGAAACTTTACATTCATCATATTAATTTTAGTTTGTGGGAGCATGATAATGGGATGGGTATAGATATACTCTTTAGGGAGTAGTCGAGGTTAAACCTTTCCAGGTTCATGATCGGTTATAAATGAAGAGAGAGTGTTCTTCTGTTTACCAGGAGGTAAATACGATAAAAATATAGTTTTACGGTATGATATATTTATGAGTTAAAATGCTCGATATCAAAGGATAGTGCGTATATATATATATATATATATATATATATATATATATATATATATATATATATATATTCATTTTAAATTCTGCATTTTAGTGTTTATGCATTGTAATGACATAACTGCCGCGGCGACATCAAAGTGAAATTCTTTACTCGACATCTGCTAAACCCGTTTATCACTTGTAAAAATAAAATTGAAAATCCCATTAACCAAATTGAATATTGTATTTCACTTAAGCTTTTGATTTTATGATAAGGTCTTCAAGCATCTCAAATCTGTTATGTAATTAACATATCATAACTCCCGCACACACACACACACACACACACACACAGATACACACACACACACACACACACACACACTTATCACAAAAATGCCTCACGCGCGAACGTACACTCCCACACATGTGTACAGGGTGTATCAAAATACTTCTGCAAAATTTGGGGGGCAAGTTCTTCACACTAAAACAAGGAGAAATATCCATGTAAACACACGTTCGCAAATTTTTCGCGTTTGAATTATTAAGTTTAGAGTTTACGGCAGACGCTATTGAATGCATAATCCCAAAGTACTTTAAGATTTTGGGTGAGCTTTCTTGACACCCAAACAAGATAAATAATTCATAAAAAACAAATATAGAGGTTAATGATTTAAATGGCGAGAATACATCATCGCAAACAATATAAATAAGATGCACCAACCCCGAACCTGTATATGAATGATATGATCCCTGTTTATAAATTCCAGTTGCATAAGGTTGATGTAAATTTAAATCATAAACCTCTATATTTGTTTTTTGTATGAATGATTCATGAATTTATAATATATATATATATATTCTGTTTTGTGTCCCTTAGAGTAGTTTCCAAATTATGGCCGTTATGCCCTATAGAAGAATTGTCATTTAACTGATACCACTTTTTTTAGTATATGAAATGTTCCTAGTATGGCGATCCTGTGGGAAACTTGTATGTTGTTGTTACTTGGGACGCTGTTAGTAAAATTGTTCATTCCTTTTCTCATGAGGCCCAGTGCTCCGATTACTATTGGTACAGTCTTAATCTTCATTCTCCACATGCTGTTAATCTCGGTTTCCATGTCTTTGCATTTGGATAATTTTTCGATAATTTTCATGGAGGTGTTTCTCTCAGATGATACTGCTATGTCAATAAGCATACACTTCCTGAATTTCTTGTCTTTTATGATAATATCAGTTCTGTTGGCTTTTATTTCCCTGTCAGTTTGAATTAGTATGTCCCAGAGGATAGTTACATCGTTATTTTGGGTAACTGTGTCTGGTTGGTGGTCATATCATGTCTCAATGGTTTCGATTTTGTGCTTCTTGCATATCTTCCAGTGCACGTATGTGGCTACCTTATGTTTGTGGGTATATTCATTTTTTTGCTAGTTCCGGACATCCTGAGATAATATGGTCGACAGTTTCATCATGTATTATTATTTCTTCAAATATTATTTTTATGGACGTCCATGTTTGATTAGACATTTATTTTAAAAAGTCCCCATTTTTTTTTCTCGTGACACATGTAAAACTTAATAAAGAAAGTGTGCCATCTGCCAGGGTTTGAACCAGCTTTAAAAATTCGTTTACAGTAATTCTTACTTCCACTGTTAATATCAACTATGAACACGGCCACAATGTGCTGATCGTGTTTGGAAAATAAAACATTGAATTATAAAAAAAAAATAAAGTCCATTAATTCTTTGGGATTTATATTTTATTACTTAAATGTTATTTTAGGGGATACTCATATTTAAATAGACCCTCTGATTATTTATTAAGCTGTATATTTATCTATTTTCGTCTAACAGCCAGAATATTCTAGAAATCTTATGAAAGAAAAATATGCGCCCTCGGTAGGATTCGAACCTGCATCCACTTTAAACATATTGTTTAATAAATAAACAGAACCTCTACTCAAATATGAGTATCCGCTATAAATAACGTCTAAGTAATAAAGTTTGTCGAATTAATCAGTAATGTATATGTAGATTTTACATATGTGTATTTAAAATTGCATCAATTAGGACACATTGAAACTTACCACACACTGCCTGCAACATAGCTGTGGAAAACACGATCATAACAGACATGTACAAAAAGGCTAAAAAATAATGGAAGCATTAATTATAAAATAACGAAATGTCTATACTCAATAATATCAATTATGAACACGGCCACATCATGCTGACCTTCTTTGGAACAGTAAAAAATACATTCGTATCAGTCAGTCTCCATATTCAGATAAAAAAAATCTTTTGTACTGCTTACTAGAATAGTCGAAAACGCCCGTGTCTATAGAACATTTGGATAGTTTTTATACATTTTATGTCCATATAAGAAAATACTTGTACGAATTCAAGAAAAAAAAAAAAACTGAATAAAAAGATTAATCGCAATACCTTATGCATTGTTCCTAATCCAGTTCCAGTGCTATATTTTTTACTAAAAGAATATTTTTCGAATTTAATTTTACCATTCATCAAAATTGTATTATCACTTTTAGATATTCCAAGTATTTTCAACATATCAGTGGAATGGGTTTAGGTCAAACTTTGATCAAATAAATCAAATAAACCTTACTTAAAAGGATTTTTTCTCTTGGAGTCCAAGAAGGGAAAAAAAAAGAATTTAAAAAAAAAATGAAACGATCTGCTGATTTTTCTTAAACGGAAACCAAACGTCGCTAATTCTTCTTTGGAATCAACAGACGTTGGTTAACACGTCACAATGGCGTCATCATCAGAACGACAAGATTCTTCATTTTTTTTCATTTTTTTCTGCTTATAATTTAAGTCCCCGTGATGCAACGGGTCGGGGTTCCTGTGAGCCCTCCCCTGGTTAAGTAAGACAATATTATGTTTTCCTAGTTAATGTTAATAAGTGTGGTCCTAGCCTTCCCTAGTTTGTTTTTCACTTTTATGACTGGGTCAGCCTTTGATTTTTTTTCCCTTTCCGTCATTTATTTGTAACCTTCCTATTCTATAATTGAGTGTGCTTCTTGGTTTCGTCTATCGACAGAATACAGCGGCCACTCTTATTATTTTGAGGGGGGAAAGGTCCTACTAACATTGTTTTGTTTTAGTTTTATTTTTGTGTTTCATTTTTAGTTTGTTTTCTCGTTTCATCCTCCCACCCCATCATTTAATAAATCATGAAATTTTCATATGAACGAACTTTATGGACAATGATATAAAATTTTTACATCATGGGATGTTCTGTAGGTCCTGTGAGAATATGCGGTATTATGATATATGCAGGATTGAGTGATGATCAATGAGACCTTGTGGTGAATGGGCAAATTGTAATGAATGAATAGGTCGTGATTCTGATTAACTAGGACTAGGATAGCTAATGAAGACCAGCCTCTCTCTCCATCTCCCCCTCGGCCTTGTGCCACAATTTTGTATCTCTTCAGCAAATAGTAGGTGTAATTTGAGAGCCTGATTCACATGAATTAGCCCAATCTCGATTTCCATTTTTAGCTATCTTTATCTACGGCAGGGCGGATTCCGGAAGGACGGCAAACCTAGTCTACTTTAGTTCTCCTAATTAATGTGAACGGATACCGTTCCCAGCTCGGTCGCAGCTTTCTCTTTGGTTATGGTCCTTGCAACCATTCCCAGTCTCCCCAATTTTTTACCTTCGCTTTTTATCGTGACTGAACCAGACATATATATTTCTCCAATGAATTTTAATTTGCCCCTCTCTCCCGCCACTAGTGTGCGAGCTTCTTGATTCTTCATATCGGCAGGATAGAGCAGTTGCACTTATTTTGGGGGAGTTGAACGGGCCAGGCTAACACGGTTTTTTTTTAAAGGAGGTATCTTCTCCCAATTTCATTCCATGACAAAATTTATATATATATATATATATATATATATATATATATATATATAATTTTATCATATATATATATATGTGTGTGTGTGTGAAAATATATAGAAAATAGGAAGGAACTGGTTAGGTAAATAATCCAAAGTCCCTTAATATTTTAGTTATTATTTTTTAAAAATAGGGCTCGATACAAAATAATTATTTATTTAAAAATATGATTCCAAAACGCGACATAAGAAGTCTCATGTTCCATCTTCAAGCGAAATTCCAATAAAAATTTCAATAAAAATTCCAATAAAAATTCCGCTTGAAGATGGAACAGAGCTTACTTTAACTCAATTTAATTAAAATAATTATATTGAAGTTTTCGGCTCTTGTTTTGAAACATGAGTCTTCTTATGTCGCGTTTTGGAATCATATTTTTAAATAAATAATTATATATATATATATATATATATATATATATATATATATATATATATATATATATATATGTATATATATATGCACCTTTGTGCAAATTAATTAAAACAACCTCTTTAGTTTCCTTTCTCTTTTTTTTTCTCAGAGTTAGGGTGAGTTTTAAAACCATTGCAGTAATAGGTTGTAATAGATTTCTATTTTTTCATAGGTCATTTGCAGTGGTGTGCACTAATATTTTATTCTATTTTCTGGGTGTATGATGACATTTGTTTGGCCTTGAAAAATACTGCGTCGTCCGTGATTACATCAGATTTTAATCACGCCCAGACACTATTGTCTCGACTGTCGATTAGTAGCCCTACGGCCATTGTCTGCAATGGACGTTACTCCAATGAAGCGTACAAAAATGGCAAAAAAACTACACGAACACACTGGCAAGCCTTACCAGTGAGCAAATCAAAGTACTGTGGATTGGCCTGGAAATTCCCTGATTTAAATCGAATCGAGAAATCGTGGAACGGACATACGAAGTACTAACACGTGCAATGGGTCATGTTTCATTGGTGTGTGGGTATGTGTATCCAGAAAAGCAAAGAATTACACAATTATTAAATTATATAATCTGGGAGCCAACAAGGAAAGTGTCACCAGAGAAGCGTCTCGTGTTGAAAACAAGGTATTTAACCACAATTCCTTTGTTAGTCGTTTTTTCTTGAAACTGCTATATATATATATATATATATATATATATATATATATATATTACAAATTTTAAGAATCGAATGAAAAAGAATAGGTTCTTGTGATGAATGGCTCACGAGTCGGATTAGCTAGGTGAAGAATAGATAGTGTTGACTAGCCTTTTCATATGTTCCCTTTCGACCTGGTGCCACATTGATAAAATGTTAAAAATAAAAATTTAATGCTAAAAATAAACACACTTCAGCTTACCTTATGTCTAGTCCCTCTACAAAAACTAGTGATAACATGTAATCCAGTACATGATGATCTGGTCATCGGTAATTAAGCCGGGATCTCCCAGACAGGCCTTTCGTCTGGGGAAGATGGCTAGACACCCGACAAGATAAACAAACATGTGCTGTCAAAAAGCGGATGGAACTTGTAGTACTACCGACTATCTGTAGAACAATGAAGTAAACTGCGTTCTGTATACAGCCATTACATATTACCCCGACCTTGCAATAATTTCAAACGTATTTATGAGGATTGGGACATACCCATTAGTGTTCATAGGTACGGTATCTAATACAGGTGTAGGGCTTCGTAGCAACCCTACGACAACACATAGTCTGGGGTTGATGAGGAGCTTCTTCATCACTGCCTCATTCTCTTCCTTTTAAACCTTCAACTTCATTTTCAACCACCTCCTCGTCCTCCTCCTCCTTCTTTTTTTCTTTCTTTCTTTCTTTCTTTCTTACTTTATTTCTTTCTTCCTTTTTTCTTTCTTCCTTTCTTCCTTTCTTTCTTTCTTTTTTCTTTCTTTCTTACTTTCTTTTTTTCTTTCTTTCTTTCTTTCTTCCTTTCTTTCTTCCTTTTTTCTTTCTTTCTTTCTTACTTTATTTCTTTCTTCCTTTTTTCTTTCTTCCTTTCTTCCTTTCTTTCTTTCTTTTTTCTTTCTTTCTTACTTTCTTTTTTTCTTTCTTTCTTTCTTTCTTCCTTTCTTTCTTCCTTTTTTCTTTCTTTCTTTCTTTCTTTCTTTCTTTCTTTCTTTCTTTCTTTCTTTCTTTGTATTGTACTTTTTCTCTTACAGCTTCTCTTTTTTAATTTACTTCTCTATCTTTCTCATATCCTTAAAAATTCAACTACTCCTCTTCTTCCTCTTCCTACTGCTCTTCACGCACACCCACTATCTGTCTGTCTCTCTTTCTTTCTGACTCTCTCTCTCTCTCGCTTTCTATCTCTCTCTTTCCGTCTTATCCTAGCGCATTCGGCTTTCTTTAAATCGAACCATCACGCAAAAACGCGCACTTATTTAGGCCGCTACAAATTTTTGAGTTATCAAGTACGTTACTTGCATGTAAGAACGGATCTCTCTCTCTCTCTCCCTCTCCCTCTCTCTCTCTCTCAATCCCTCTTTTTCTCTCTCTCTCAATCTCCTTCTTTCTTTCACTCTCTTTCTTTCTCTCTCGCCCTCCTTTTCTTTCCCTCTCTCTCTCTTTCTGTCTCTCTCTTTCTCTCTCTCTGCTATACCCTTTCAGGACGTGGGCGATTATTATTCTCTACAACATTGGAATTTAGTTCCTTTAAGTAATTCTTGCCAGGTTCCCTCTTCTCATTCTTTTTGCTTATTCAGGCGAGCACTTAATGTGCCCCGTGATCGTTCAATTCGCCATACCTTCAGTATATTGATCAGTAGCAGAAAAACCGATTCATGCCGGCATTTTGCAAAGATTACAAAATATTACAATGGTTGTTATGAAAAGACATATTGATATTAATTACTTTCATAAAGGTGGGAAAATCTCATATAAAGTTAGATAGATAGATAGATAGATAGATAGATAGATAGATAGATAGATAGATAGATAGATAGATAGATAGATAACAAGAAAAAGTCAGAGATAGGAGCAGACTTAGATATGAACTGGTTGAGATAGATAGATAGATAGATAGATAGATAGATAGATAGATAGATAGATAGATAAGGAGCTGACCTAGATAGATACATAAATAGATTAATAGATAGATATAGAGATAGAGAGATAGTGAGAGGAGCACACTAAGATAGATATAAATATAGAGAGAGGGAGAGAAAAAGGAAGTGAGAGATAGGAGCAGACTTAGATAGATAGATAGATAGATAGATAGATAGATAGATAGATAGATATGAAAAATGAGATAGATAGATAGATAGATATGAACAGAATAAAACAGATAGATAGATAGATAGATAGATAGATAGATAGATAGATAGATAGATAGATAACAAGAAAAAGAGAGAGATAGGAGCAGACTTAGATATGAACTGGTTGACATAGATAGATAGATAGATAGATAGATAGATAGATAAGGAGCTGACCTAGATAGATATATAAATAGATTGATAGATAGATATAGAGATAGAGAGATAGTGAGAGGAGCACACTAAGATAGATAGATATAGAGAGAAAAAGGAAGTAAGAGATAGTAGCAGACTTAGATAGATAGATAGATAGATAGATAGATAGATAGATAGATAGATAGATAGATATGAAAAAATGAGATAGATAGATAAATAGATAGATAGATAGATAGACATGAACAGAATTAGAGAGATATGAACAGAATAACATAGATAGATAGATAGATAGATAGATAGATAGATAGATAGATAGATAGATAGATATGAACAGAATTAGATAGATATGAACCGGCTGAGATAGATAGATAGATAGATAGATAGATAGATAGATAGATAGATAGATAGAAAGAAAGAAAGAAAGGAGGGAAAAGTAAGAGAGTGGAGCATACTTTTCTCATTTAATTTTTGTAAAGCTTTTCAATTGCATGTCATATGGTTAAAACCTTGAATCAAATATGCAATGTTTTATCTAATATATCCTTGTGTGTAGCACAGCGTTTATTTTTACAGACCCCCAAATTGCGCTTCAAATGCTTACATCCCAGTTTCATTTTAAGCAATGATACTTTCTCTCCTCAAATCATCTAATATTATTTTCTATATGCATCAAAGCACAAACAAATTCCATGTTTTTGCAATGAATTTACCAGAAAAGGGAGCAGTGAGCTTTCAAGAATTTTCAGAAACAGTCCCTTCCATTTCTTTTATCTTGAATTTAACGATGGTCATAAAAAAAAAGAAAAGCACCTTTCCCAAATATGGTAACTGTCATTGTCCGTATTTATATATTATTTTCTTCTTCTAATTGTCCGTATTTATATATTATTTTCTTTTTCTAATTGTCCGTATTTATATATTATTTTCTTCTTTCCCTCCTCCTTAGTGAGAGAGCCTCTTGATTTTGTTCAAGGACACAGTACAGCAGCCTCTCGTTTTTTAGGGTTGGACGGGTCCTACTAATATCAGTTATCTTTATTTGGTTTGTTTTGATATTTAATTTGTTCTGCGGTTTAACCCCTCCCCTCTCATTGTAAATCATCCATAGATTTTTATCTATGAATTTTTAATAATCATCAAAATTTTTATGTCATGGGGTACGTTTTTTAGGTTCCCTGAGAGTATGCGGTATTATGGTGTATGGAGGATTGATTGGTCGAAGTAGTCCACCACTAGCAGTGGTTTACCTACTTCAGGCCGCTGGCGAGTATTGTATTTTGTTGATGTTATAAAGATTACCATTTCATTTCCAAACTCTGTTTTGGTTATTCCTCATTCAGTAACCCTCTCGAGGTTACAACAACCTGAGCAGTTCCCTTCACATATCTGGTTTGGAAGCCTGGAGAGGTATTCCTTCCGGTTGGGTCTTGAGCAAGTGGATTTGGCGGTTCGCAACTCTCTCCAGATCAGACTAGAGTTGATGACCTCCAGCTTGAAGACTTTCTCACCGACTCGCGGCCATTTCTTCTCTCTGGGGAAAACCATCCCCTCTTTACCGTTGGATTACATTATCTTCCTCTTGGTCACAATGTATTCTGATGTGCCGTTACAAACCTCCAGCCTATAGGCGAAAATTGCCGCATTTATGGTGTTCCGGATGTAACGTAATCAAAGTCAACTCTCTGAACATGGCTTCGTTTCTGACCTTTTAACTCCATTCTGCTGAAGGAGACAGATTGATCTGGCCACCCCCCCCCATATCCCGTCAGTATTACGTCCCAGCCCACTCGATCTATCCTTCTTCGACTTTTCATGTTTTCAAAATTCATGTGTATACATCTGTATAATAAATGAATATGTCAATGTGTCACACTTTTCCAACTTTACTCCTAGAGGCCGTAGCACAACATATCATAGCATTTTAAAGTCAGGTCGACTCCCTGAACAAATTAGAAACATTCGGGGCCCACTCTGCTGAAATTCTGGATTCCCAAGTTTTCATTACTGCAATTGTTTTCGGCTATTTTTTACGTGATTTTTTGCGACTAAATTTTGTACAATATATGGAAATAAATTTAGGAATAATCGAAATAAATTACGAAATCCAGCGAAAGCACCCATGAAATAAAAATAATTGTTTGCACTGAAAGTAAGGACCTACGTGCATCAAACATAAAAATTGAGTGGCGTCAGAATAATCATCGTTGAACTTTTAAAAAGTAAGCTTAATTATTAATGCAATACTTAAATGCAGCGATCAATTTTCAGTTCTGTAGTTTATTGTGGCCAATCGTATCTATCCTCTCTACTTATTGTGATGAAGGCCCAACCAAGAGCCCTCTGTAGGAGCTAGCTTAAATGACGTAAGATAGGGCGGTTTTTAAGCTAGAATATAATAATGGCCATCTTGTCTGGTTTTTCGAGTGACTAGCCAATCCCTATTGTAAACACATACACTGTCATATATATGTTTATTTAATACGAATACAGTCCACCTGTGGTTTATACTTCAACTACGCTGAGCGGCCATGACTAGCAGTTTAAAAAATCGCGGTACGCTTGACCTTCGCCCGAGCACAATGATCGACATCTTTTAAATAGTTCCGTCAGCTCAGTTTCATTAAGAAATCACATTTCTAATATGGCGGCTATGTTGAGATTAGAAGCGAATTTCACATGATCGGAAACACGTTCTAGCTATTCAGTATATATATATATATATATATATATTGTTTAAAATGTGCTGTATTTATTGGAAAGAGTGATCAGTATTGGAGATAGAGCGTTTATTGATATAGACAGTGTGGACATCCAAATTAATACTGCATAGTAGATCTTACGTCTCGACGCTATCGATCTATCTATCTATCTATCTCAGTCAATTCATATCTCTTTATCTCAGTTTGTTCATATCTATCTATCTATCTATCTATCTATCTATCTCAAACTGAAACATAATCTCCATTATATATATATATATATATAATTGGTCTGATGATCGGTTAAAGCGAGAAACTGCCATTCAGAGTACAGTATTGATTTCAACGTATATACTGTTTATATTTACAAGCATTCTTCTCCAAGAAACTGCAAGTTGTAAACGCAATCCTATATATATATCTATATTATATATATATATATGTATGTGTGTGTGTATGTGTGTGTGTGTCTGTGTGTATACGTGACTGTGTGTGTGCATGTGTGTGTGTTTAGATTAGTTTTACGTAATTACAAAAACAGTCTAAATATCAGACCAAAGTTAACAGGAAGCAAACTTATACAAACATTTTGTAGATTTAGTTATAGCAATGTTTCTTTCAGCACGAAATTCTTCATTTTAATCGAAAATTTGCATTCATTTGCATTTTGCTCTGATAAAAGAATTCATGCAGAGGGGGAAAATGTCGACAACAAATCTCCCCGGAATTATCTTAAAGAAGCTGACAGGAGACTTAAAAAAATAAAAATAAAAAAATAGAAAAAATAAATAACAAAACCCTTCTAAAAATAGGCCTTGACGCCACTCTCAAGTTAACGTGATAGCGACTGGAAAAATGTCTTATCAGTAAGAGGTATGAAATTATCTGATGAAGTCTAGAAAACAAACCGGCTGAAACGCTGTAAAAGAAAAAAAAAACACAACAATCAAACTAAGTTGAATAATAACTTCACATACAACAGCATTTATTTGTAATGTTGACCTATTATTGCAATAATCTATGTTTTTTTATTATTTCATGACGTGACTGTACACATCTTCCTGTCTTTCATTGCACTAAGTAAAATTTCGCTTTGCCAATAAATTTATGTATGTATTTGGCCACCCCTTCACCCAAAATACTTATATTTGGCTATGTGCTGTTTTTCTCCGCTTCAATCAGTCCTGTGAGCGTTTCATTCTCCAAGCCGCCTTTATTCATTATGCCTCTAAAATATTTAAATGTCCTTTGGGAGATTGCATCTCCAAAAAATGTTAATAATATATATGTTGGTTTTATTCGATAACAATAACATGGAATGCTTTCGTTTCACTTAAACGACCTTAGTTCAATCTCAGAGCATTTAAAAGGAACATTCATGCCCACATTGACAATTTAGGCAGATATAAGACGAAAATACAGCTGTACTCCATCAAGATAATACTAAGCAAAGACTAAACATTCTAGAAGCTCTTTATATAAGAGAATAAATTCAACTACGAGTATAGCAGCAAATTCTTTAAAAATTCTGAATTACATTTGTTAAAATTCTTTTATACCCATAAAAATTTACTCCCAAAATAACATAAGTTACCTCCCTTGTATAACGGGTAAATATTTTGAATCTTACGGTGATCATGCAGAAAAATATATTAAAAAAATCACATAATTTACCGCCTTTGTAAAAGGGGTAAATATATTTGAATTTTCTGGTGTTCACGCACCCATATCCATA